TTTTTTATAAATATATTGTTTTACTAAAACTAAATTCTGTTGTTTTTATGGTATTGTGTCTTAGGGATTGGCATAAGGACTAAAGAATACTTTTGTACTTTTCTGCTTCTTTTATGATTGCTAAGAATTACAGCAGTTGAATTGATGGAATAGCAGTCCATATTCTCTCTGCGTCATCCATTTATGTGGATCATCTATTTCTTGTTTCATTTTCTCAACTATTTTTTAAGTTTATTTATTTATTTATTTTGAGTAAGTAATACATTCTCTTGGTTCAAAATTTAAGAGATGAAAAAAGGTATATAGATAGAATTTTCCTTCCTACCTATACCTCCCTACCTCTAATTTTTTTCTGACAGGTAGGCAGTATTACCAGTTTCTTGTGTATCCTCCCAGGGATAATTTATTTATGTATATGCACAAGCAAAAATGTCTGCCCCCACCACTATGCACATTTTTCTGCACCTTGTGTCTTGGAGTTCATTGCTTATCAGCGTACAGGAGCTTTCTTCTTTTTTATAGCTGTTTAGTTTTATTTTGAATGAATGGACCATACTTTATTTAACTAGTTTCTTATTCAGGTTTTACTGTTATAGACATTGCTGTAGTTATTTACTTTGTGTGTCATTTTATATGGAAGCAAATGTATCTGTAGGGTGAAGTCTAGTTGTGCCAGTTTACGGTCCCATCAGCAGTGTATGAGAGTACTTTCTGTCCCTCACCTTGCCTACATGGGTGTTACCAGAATGAAGCATATTTCCAGTCTGATACATGAGAAATAATGTTTCAGCATAGTTTTCATTCATATTTTTCTTACAATGAGCAAGGTTAAGTGTGTGTGTAATTGTAATACCAATTTGTACTTCCTCTTCTATGAACTGTCAGTCTTTTGCCCACCATCCTATTCAGTTCTTTTTCCTAATGATTTGCAGTTACTCTTTAGAAGGGAAGTTAGTCCGTCTATTCTAATTATATAAACAATACCTCGTTCTCTTTGAATTTGATGTATTGTTATGAATAGCTATTTAATGCAAGGGGTTAATCTGTATCCAGTGATTTTTTTTTAAACTTTTTATTGTGATTTGGGTGAGAATTTACAGAACAAATTAATCTTCCATTCAACAGTTCATGCACATTTTATTTCCTGACATTGATTGCAATTCCCACAATGTAACAGCTTTCTTCCCACTTCCTCCCTGTGCTTACTTTCTCCCCACTCCTCGGTCCCTCTTATGTATTCCTATCTTCTGAGCTTTATGTATGCACAAAAGCTGCCCTTT